AAACGTATAAATATTACTGTCTTAATTGTTTAGATTTTTAGAAGGCACATTAACTTATTTTTCATTTACAAACTCTATGTGTTTGCTGCGTAAAAACATGAGGTGATATTTGCATTGATCTAACCATAAACAGCAAGAAAGGCTTACTGGAAATGCTAATTCATTCTCTGCCACGAGGTGGCGCTTTAGGAGCGCTGAAATATTGCGGTTTCCCCGGTAACGGCTGTGTACACAAAGCAGCTCCGCATAAACGCTGCGTTATCAGGAATTATAGGTCAAATTAAATTAAAATGCCAACGACGTTTCTGAGGACAGTCGGTTCCCTTCAGATACATTCAAATAAAGACATCCATGCCGCGTTTTAACTTGACACGTGCAGCGCTCATATTTATTCAATGACATAATTGCCTTTTGAAGTGTAATCCAGCCATATGGCGACTCTTGTCTTTCCGTCCCCAACTGTAAGACCTCTTGAAATTATAATTAAGACATTTCTTATACCATTTAACGTATTTTAAACTTTTTATGGCCTTAAGTTTGATACAACTCACTTTATGAGTTTTTAAGGACCCGCGGGAGATCGGCATTTAAGATAGCCTGTTGGGCAGAGTGGTGATACATTTTGGTTTAGCTTCCTAGTAGTGTAGGTACAATCTGGCAACCCTAGATACTCATAGCAGAGGATGAGACACCGGATAGCTGCATTGAGTTAGTAGTCCCCAGAACACAATTAGCACGGGATGGCTGGAAACGCGTGGAGGTCAACGGTAAGGACTATATTATATGAACAAACCTCAGATTATAGCAGTCCGTGCTCTGTTATGCCAAATATCACTGTAAAGTATGAATGCAAGTATATACTTAATTTGCGCAGAAAACGTTGCGTTGCAATAACGTTAGAGATGCCACAGCGGCCCTGTGTTGCATGCCCTTCACACCGGCACTTACATGTTTAACACATTTAACAGCTCTCAGTCAACTCATCTACTAGTCTCTTAACAAATATAAATAAAGTTAAGAGAATGACACGATGCGTGTTGATCTCGGCTGAATGCGTGGATGAATCACGCCTCAGTCAAACGCCACAGATGTTCCCTCTGCAGTCATCATCGCCATCTACACATTATGGTGTTTAATGCCCCAAAACGTATGTCAACTCAACTAAGAGGGCAGTAAAACGACATTCTTGCCTTTTCAGCTCATAAAACTTCTCGAGATATGCTGCGTGCGGATAAGTGACGGGACTCCGGAAGTAAGAAAAACGCGCATCTCAGTTCAGTTAACTTAGTTACGTTAGCTTTAACGCGTTATCGCGCGGCAGCTTATAGTCTTTAAAGATGGCAAATCTGATATGGACATTAAAATAGTCTGGGTGAGATAGAGTTTAAAAATGAGTTTAGTAAAACAGCTGTTTTAAATGTGCTAGGAGAAACATCTAACTGACCAACCGACCATCTTGTGGATGAAGGTCACCTCGACATGTTGATTGAGTGAACAAGAGTTGACTGATGTCAAGACTAAACTAGACCAGCTGACCTTTAGTTTATGAGTTTCCCTTATGCACTAAATGTTCGTCTAGAACATTCAATCATGGATTCAAGTGATGAGGACATGAGAAGATACAGAAGAACATTTGATGTCCTTCAGACTGGTGTTTTACATATAATATATGGGTTAATGTAGTTTAGATTCATTTGACTAATATTGGATGGATGAAATATAAAATAGTTGTAAATATATTTATATTATTTTGTTATCTAATGCAGTGACACTCATACATTTTTAAGTGTGACTCTGAATGGAAATTAATTGTAATTTTTTTTTTTTTTTTTGGCAAAGTGTCCAAATTCTTTTGAGGCCGCATATCTTGCTTCACAGTTTTATGGCACCACTCTCTCACAGTACACATTGCTTTAAAAAAAAAAAAAGAAGTAGTATCCCCATCAGATCTGCTGTCTTCTTGAGCGGTTTGTTTCGAAAAATCTTTGTTATTTCTGTTTGATCATCAGTGACCCGTAGCCTTTTTTTTTAGGCTGATTTAAATTGAATGTTCATATATTTGACCATGCAGGTTTGTGAAACTACACCCCTCATTTTACACCAAGGATATGTCCTTACATATTTAATAACTAACATTTAATCACCTCACTAATTGGCAAAGGTTTGCATTTGTTTAATCTTTTGACTTCAGGATGGTCCCTGGTGTAATTCACCTTGTACATGCTTGTTTCCTGAATTGCACTTTCTGCATTGTGTGTTCAAAAAAACATTTAAAGTTTGCATGCAGAGTTAATGGGATCAGAATGTCAGACAGACCGTCTAATTAACTTTTTTAGCTACTGTGTGCAAAGGGCCACAGTGAAGATCAGCCATTGTGGCAGTCGCATGAAATGCAGCGCTTTTTAAAAACACATGGGCAATTTGCTTACTTTTTAATAGATGGCTTTGGCTTTGTGTATCAGGTAGTATCAGCTTGATTTATCTTCCAGTGTTATTGATCTGTTTGTATCTTTTAAAATTGTCTCTGCAGGTGTCCCATGTAATGGGAGCCATAAAGACTCAGAGCCCACTGCCCAGAACCTTCTCCAGAGGGGTAAGTTCAAATCAACACTCACCCATGTACCGTGATTTGTGACACTATGAAGTTGCAACTTTACTCAACTAACTTTTTGGGTGACGCTAACACAAAAAGTACCAGTGGTACCATAGTATTTTTAGAAGATGATACCACGGTAATTCCATGTTTCTGGACACTTGCCATGGCAACACCATGTTTTTGTTTTATTACATACACCATGGTGATTGTATGGTAATTTTAAAATACATTGGCTGTAAATAGTGTGGTACACAAATATAATAAGAATTTAGCACCATGGTTTATATAAAAGTAGTTTGTGGTCAAGTTTGGTTCATTTATAATACTCACCTTTTTTTAACATGAACCGAATTTCAGAAATAAAGTTGTACTTGAAATAAACTTGTCCCAAACCAAAATGTTTTACTTGTCCCAAAATAAAATGTTTTAATATGTTAAAAATACTATGCACAGTTTGACAAGTAAAACGAATTAAATTTTAAAATAATAAAAAAAAGTTTTTGTATGTTTAAAAAGTCCATATATTATATTTTTTATATAGTAGTTTTATGAGTTTAAACTATATACTATATTGTTTGGGGGGAAAACGTGGTACATAAAGGTCAGTTTTACTTGTCTGAAAAGCAAGTACTTGGAAGAGCTTAATGCGCAGCCTTGAGTGTAAAGTTTTAATCACAAAAGAAGTCTTAAACATTAATCTTGCAGCCTAAAGAAACTATGTAGTTGTGTCAGTTGAATAGTTACTTCAGTCAAGATTGTTCACTTGAAGGCGTTGGTTTTTTGGCACTAGTAAACGCAGAATGAGTCAGACCTACTCAAAACATACTGCAGAAAAACTTCAACTGGATGCCTTTGTTGTCCTTGCTTCTGGAGAGATTAGTTATAGCAGCCAGCAGTGTTCAAACTTCATGACTATTTGTACTATAGTAGTGAAATCTTCAAATTCCTTTTCTGAGTTCTCTGTTTTATGTAGAAAGCCTCAGGAAAATGTTGCCAGATTGTGATACTTGTGATTACGGGTCCGTGCTTTATTTTGACAGATTCAAACTGTAACGTTAATTCCTGGAGATGGAATCGGGCCAGAGATCTCCACTGCAGTAATGAAGATATTTGAAGCAGCTAAGGTAAGTATCTGTTGTTTCACTCTTAGGGAATGCAGCCTAGGCTTCAAGTTGCAGCAAGTGTATTATGCAGTTTTTCTACACGAGCCAGGCTAAAAATGTAGCTACTATGTTTTTTAACCCCTTTGTACACTGCTTTAAGACTTAGGTGTGAATTTCTTTCCTCACCCAGGCCCCTATTCAGTGGGAAGAGAGAAACGTCACCGCCATCAAAGGGCCCGGAGGCAGGTGGATGATCCCTCCTGAGGCCAAAGAGTCGATGAACAAAAACAAAATTGGATTAAAAGGTCAATTTGCCGACTGTGTCTCATATCAGGCATAGTGTGTATGAAACTCGCATGATCAAAACCGAATTATATTTCAGGACCCCTGAAGACACCAATTGCTGCTGGACACCCGTCCATGAACCTGCTGCTAAGGAAGACCTTCGACCTTTATGCTAATGTGCGTCCCTGCGTGTCGATCGAGGGCTTTAAGACGCCTTACACCGATGTGGATCTGGTCACCATCAGAGAAAACACAGAAGGAGAGTACAGTGGGATCGAACATTTGGTAAGTATGAGTGCTCACCTGTATTTTAAACTATTTAACCTGTAACTCAGCCAAACCATGATCGTATTCTTTTGATTTCTGCTTCAGGATCTGCATTTGCAGGAATAGGTGTTTGAACCCTTTGGATTTCAATGGAGTTCTGCATTAATTGGATTTAGACCATTCATCATTACAAAACTGATTCAGTTTAATAGAGTTCTTGAGAATTGGTTTGAATTGCTGTTTTGAGCTTATGCCAAAGCATATAAATTAGGTTGACATCTGGATTATGGGGTTCACATACATTTATCCACCTTTAGACCTTTAGGCCCAGTATAGCACAATAGGGTAATAGGGTGACATTTGACTTTTGGAGCCCTCAGCAGCTGATTGGCTCCCTTCACAAATGTCAAAGGTCGTGCTATTGTCATCTAATGCTGTCTTAACCAGTTTCTCATGCAGTGCTAGCGGGAATTCAGTGGCACAGCTCATATTTCAGTGCTGCGTATTCTTTAGGTAGGTGCCTGTAGGTCCCAGTCCATAGTGTGTCAAATTGTTATGTGAAATGACCTTCAGGTCGTCACATTTCATTCATGCGATCTTTCCTTTGTCTGTTCACGTTATGAACTTGTACAATACCGTTCAAGAGTTTGGGGTCAATGAGATTTATTGTTTTTGAAAAATTTATACTTTTATTCAGCAAGGATGCATTAAACTGATCAAAAGTGACAGTAAAGACATTTATAATGTTACAGAAGATTTATGTTTCAAATAAATGATGTTTATTGTACTTTCTATTCATCAAAGAATCCTGAAAAAATGTATTGTGGTTTCCACAAAAACATTAAGGAGCACAACTGTTTTCAGCATTGATAATAAGAAATGTTTCTTGAGCTGCAAATCAGCATATTAGAATGATTTCTGAAGGATCATGTGACATTGAAGACTGGAGTAATGATGCTGAAAATGCAGCTTTGATCACAGGAATATGTTAGATTTTAAAATAGATTAAAATAGAAAACAGCTGTTTTAAATTGTAATAAAATTATCATAGTATTACTGTTTTTACTGTGGTTTTGACCAAATAAATGCAGCCTTTGTGAGAGAGTTCTTTCAAAAACATTTTAAAAAATCATACCGACCCTAAACATTTGAAGAGTATTGTAAATTTAAGTCCTTTTACTTTTCTCAAATTTTCAGTGGACATAAAACATATTTTTACAGACCGAACACGTTTACAGTAAATGTACATAAACCTTAAGCTTACTGATCAAGTCCACCATATGAAACTTGCTGTGCAAAACTTAAATCTGAATTTGTACAGCAGTCATCATATCTTGCCCTTTTGTATGAACTAACCTGACCCTGTTTTTTGAAACCTAAACATGGTTTTGTCGAGAAAGTGATTTGAACAAAATTGGCTCCGTTTATCTCAATGTTATATGTGCACTATTTTCACTGTTAATCAGATTGTGGATGGAGTTGTGCAGAGTATTAAACTGATCACAGAGGAGGCCAGCAGACGCATTGCTGAGTATGCATTTGAGTACGCCAGGAATAACCAAAGAACCAGTGTCACGGCCGTTCACAAAGCCAACATCATGTGAGAGTCACAAATAACATAGTAACACTGTAGCTATGAAGAATTTTTACTGGTAACAAATGTCTTGTTGGATCTAATTACAAAATAATTGTAAGATATAACGATGCTAAATTCAAGTGATGTCTTCTAGGCGAATGTCTGACGGTCTGTTCCTGAGGAAGTGCAGAGAGGTTGCTGAGAATTACAAGGACGTGAAATTCACCGAGATGTATCTGGATACAGTCTGTCTCAATGTATGTTTGCAAGACAACTTAGTTCATTAGGACTGTTGTAAACATCCAGCATCTGTGAAACATAAGAAATGTGCTTTTGCCATTTTTATTCATTTTTTATATTTCTACATAACTATATAATTTTTATTTCAGTTTTAGTTCTTCAACTTTGACTTATTTCATTTCTAATTTTAAAATAATTACTAAATTACTTAGTTTTTTAATTGAAAGTTTCTTATGTTTTATTTCAATATTTAAATTTTATTTCAGCTGTTTTAATTACAGAAGGTTTTTTTTTGCTTTTGTTTTGTTTTTTAAATAGATCTTGTTAACAATTAGAAGACATATGCAGTGCTGCACATTCAGAGTTTGGTCTTTTTACTAGTTTGGCCTTTTTTTACTTATACTGTGAAATATGGAAAATACAGAAATCTTTTGCATTGCTTTCAATTGTTAAAAATTATATTTTTGACTTGATGGAAGTCGATTCACACACAGTAAATACACTTTAAGTTTGGCTTCCCTGTAGTTTAATCAACAATTGAAAGTAAATGTAGTCCCCCTCCTCATGTAAATTAAATTTCATGATGATCAAGTTTGTAATAATTCTCAAACCCAGTTATTAGAAGAAATACTCAATGTACTGACCCCGAAATCACTTTTTCATTTTAATACAATCTTTCATACATTACTTTGTGTTGTGATTATCCACTAGATGGTGCAAGATCCATCTCATTTTGATGTACTGGTAATGCCTAATCTTTATGGCGACATCTTGAGGTGAGTCTGTATGAAGCATCATGTAATAAATAGTATATGTGATATGATTATCTATGAAGTGCATGTGTCATCAGCCTTTGATTCTGGTTTTCAGTGATCTGTGTGCTGGATTGATTGGGGGTCTTGGAGTCACTCCCAGTGGGAACATCGGAGCCAATGGTGTTGCTATATTTGAATCAGTACGTATTGGACTCTGGAGGATGATGCAATAGCTTTACAATGGAGTGATTAATGATGAATAGCAATATTCCATGTATCCTAATCCTTTTATTGTATGTGTTAGGTACACGGAACTGCCCCCGACATCGCAGGCAAAGACCTGGCGAACCCCACCGCCCTTTTGCTGAGTGCTGTCATGATGCTGCGCCACATGGGACTGCATGGGCACGCTAAAAAGATTGAGACCGCCTGCTTCGACACCATTCGGGACGAGAAGGTAGGATCAGTCATTTGGACATGAATATGAATTTAGCTTCTACCATCAAGACGGAACATATTTTTATGTCTATTGCCCATCTTATATTTCAGGTTCTGACCAAAGACCTCGGTGGAAATGCTAAGTGCTCAGAGTTCACAGCTGACATCTGCCGAAGAGTGCAGGACATGGATTGAGGCTTTTCTAGTGTCTATGTTTGGATCTGATGCCTAAAGAAATCAGAAATCAAAAGAAATTAATCTTCGCATCATTCTGATATCTGCTCACAATTCTACTAAGTGTCTACATTTTTGTTTCTCCAGAACAGTAAAGCACTGTCTTAAATTCTTGTCTTTCGGCGACTGTATTTGTGAACTGTTTTAATCTGTCAAAAAGGAACTACATAATCTACGATAAACTGTATTTATTGCCTGGACATTTTCTCTGGTTTGATGTGTTTTGACAATTTGCCTTTCTGTCACATGACAGGAATCAAAATATTAGGGGCTTAAATACATAAAGGATATTTTGAATTATTTAGTGTTTTTTTTTTTTTTTTAAGTGTGGTAAATCCGTTAAAAAAAGTGAATGTGTTTCACATTTTTTATGCTTAAGCTTTTACATCGGCTATGAACTTTGCATTATGGTTAACAATTAATATAATTCAAACAGCTCTTGACCTTTGCTGTGTATAATCTACGACTGTATTTATTGCCTGGACATTTTCTCTGGTTTGATGTGTTTTGACAATTTGCCTTTCTGTCACATGACAGGAATCAAAATATTAGGGGCTTAAATACATAAAGGATATTTTGAATTATTTAGTGTTTTTTTTTTTTTTAAGTGTGGTAAATCCGTTAAAAAAAGTGAATGTGTTTCACATTTTTTATGCTTAAGCTTTTACATCGGCTATGAACTTTGCATTATGGTTAACAATTAATATAATTCAAACAGCTCTTGACCTTTGCTGTGTCAGTTGTGAAATGACTGTACTATCAAGACATGACTGTGGATGGAATATATGTCTATTTTTACGGACAAAACAACCTATGTCTTTATTTTATAGAGCACTTTTTATATGATCATTATAATACTGCATAAACTAGATTAGAGGATTACCATATACAGTAAATATATAGACAAAGCACAAGTTTTATTTTTAAGATCTGGTCAAAAAACATACAGGAATATTAAACATATAACATCCAATTTACTTTTAGTGATAGCAATTTAAAAAATTAGGGCACTTTGTGTTGTTAGATTTAAAAATTCATCATTAAAAATCTAATTTCTATGATATGATTGGCCAAAAAAGAAACGGTATCTTTAACAGAGATACAGCCAGTCTGGAAGTCATCTATTCTCTGTAAAAACTCTCTATTTCACTGTGATGCATCTGCAACACCACTGGGCGACGTAGTTTCATTGTAGGACCTGAAAAGTAACAAAGTCTATAATCTTTGGTAATAACTATTGTTCCAGGTTCAATAGAAGTTATGATCCATCAGAAAATACATTGTTTTTTTATACCCATTGGATGTCTATTGGGAACTGTTCACTGCACTCACCTAGTTCTCCTCCAACAATTGAGAAATCTTTCCCTAATATGGTACATTTTTGAATGCGCTGGGCATTTGAGGTTGCTTTTGAATTGACCCGTGCAATTCCCTCTTCAATGGACTGATACACTAGCTTGTCTTTTCCTCCAATGATGTCCGACACCTTTGTCGATTGGCTACCAAGCCGCTGACAGAATTCCACAGCCTCCAAGCTAAGAATGTCAGTGGGCTCTGTAGTTTCTGGATTGATTGTGCACTATCCAATCAGAGGAAGAATAGATTAACCTAAATGCTTTTGGAGGTTGAAGCCAGATTTTGTGTCAAAGCATAGTTTACCTTTAGCGTTAGCAGCATGGACAGAAATTTCCTCTTGTCTCCAATCAACATGGCATTGCTGATGATTGGCAACTCCTGTTTAACAGCATCCTCTATGGGAAGTGGGGGAATGTTCTCTCCTCCAGCCGTGATTATAAGTTCTGAATGGAAATGCCATTTAAAGATAACTTGAATCCAATTATAGCATCAATGCTAGTAAAAATGCGTAGGATTTGAAATAACATGCTTTACCTTTTATTCTTCCAGTGATGTAAAGAAAGCCATCTTCATCTACCTTTCCCAAGTCTCCAGACTGGAGCCATCCATCTTCATCCAAAGCCTCCTTTGTTTTATCCTTCAGGTTGAGGAATCCCATGAAGATATTGCGGCCGCAGAAACACACTTCTCCATTGCCATCACCATCTACATTTACTAGTTTGTATTGGCAGCCTGGAACCACCTTACCACAGCTAGAAGAGTTTAAGGAATTGTTACACAGTGAACTTGTTGATTATTGGCCTTCAGATTGAAGGTACTCAACCTGTAAGTTGAGGTAAGAGGGCTTGCCTTGAAAATCGGTACACTTTTGGCCCAGACATAAAGTGGGGTCCTGAGCTTTCACTCATCCCATAGGCTTCATACAGCCGAATGTTGAGGCCGAGGAAGAACTGAAGAGTTTCGCTTCCAATAGGTGCTGCTCCCGAAAAGAACTTCATACAATTGGAGAAGCCCAGCTCAGCACGAAGCTTCTGCAAGACCAGGCTGTCCGCAAGAGTAAAGAGGAATGACTTCTCATCCCTGATTTGATGACAATGGTCATAAAAACAAGAAAAGTTCAAATAACCTGAATGTAACATAACAGACAATGATATACTGTAAAATGATTGACATACTTGGGAAGCCTTTGATTAGCCTCCAGACTAACAGACATGGCCCATGTCACTAGTTTCCTTTTCATGTATCCACACCGTGAAATGCCTTCCTTGATCTTTTCCACAATTTTCTCCCAAACACGTGGAACGCCCATGTGGGCTGTAGGGGTTACCTCTCGAAGAGTGTCTATTAAACTCCCCTAAAAGAGAACATAACATTTTATGTAAACCCCAGAGCATTGTAGAATAGACATTGATCCCTTTCAACATTTGACAGCGCTGTAGTAGTCTGGTCTCAAGTCTGAGTCCAAGATCATATTTTCATGATCTTGGTCTTGTAATGGACCAAGTGTATTGCACAAGTCCTGAAAAGTGAAGCCAAAACATTTTGATCCCCATCTGGTAGCTGGCTGCAGTATAGGTCATAAACCCCACCCTCTCCATGTAAACGAATGGGACGTCAGCCAAACAAAAAAATAATAAAATTACACTTCAAATGTTTTTCCAAAGATGGTTTCCATCACTTTAGGTAGTTCTTATCACACTGATGTGTGTTCAAGTGTTCATTTTTCTAATATATTTGCTGTTAGTTATTTGATGCTATAAAACCGGTGTGCGTTGTCATGATTTTCTGTCTGTGATTGGGTCTGTGGGAGTTTGGGCGGGGGGACTCAGGCTCCAAATGAATCACTACTCCACAGACTCGGGCTCCAAGTGATGTCATTGCTGTAAGATGACAGCGGCCATACTGGGATGTTTTGGCTTCACTTTTCTATAGTAGAAGGAACTGGAGATGCGTTGTATATCTTTTTTAGTCTATGTAATGGATTTAGGAGCATTTGGATCTCAAACAACTTCAGGTCTCTGTTTTGATTTGGAGTCAATCTACTCAGGTCCTGGCCTGGTTTCGACTACAACACTAATATTTGATGACGACACCAGTTACAGCATGTAAAGCAGGGGTTCCACTTTCCAGTAGAGTGTGCAAGATTAGTAGAAACTTTAGGGCAAGCATATTGGAGCTAAACTCTATGGGATGGTGGCCCTCTAGGAGCGGGACTGGGTGCCCTGACCTAAAGCTAAACAAAAGTCCTGTTCTTGAACATCTACCTTTAGAGCATCTGGCTGAGCAAAGGACACTTGCTCCCCCCATTGGATCCCTGTCCAGAGATCATAGATCTGAGCGGCAATATGGCTGAGAGGAAGGTAGCTGACCAGAGAGACTCTTGCCTGATTTCAGCTGGCTGCATATCTCCAGCCCTGCTTGCATGGTGGGCTGTCCATGTGATCTGTAAGAGTCCAGAATTCAAAATTGTCAATAATTGCAACACAACATTGCTGCTAGATTGTGAATGTCATTTTCCATAGCATCTTACATTGTCATGACTTAGCATCACTCCTTTTGGCGATCCGGTTGTTCCAGAGGTGTAAATAAGTACACAGCATTGATTGGCTTTCTGGCTACAGATGACTTCATCTAGTTCTTGATCAGAGACTTCCGGTCCTAGTCCCATGAACTCTTCCCACTGTTCAAAGTCAAACATTTATGGTAAGTCTTTGGGTAACTTTGGCTTATGTGGATCTCTATATATCGTACACTCACTGAATAGAGATTGGGCAACTTCTCCTTCAAAGATCCAGAATATTGTACTATGGCTTTTAAGTGTGGAAGTTTATCCTTTACCTAACAAGACAAACAGGAGGATTAATCAGCTTGTTCATTGTGTATGAGGAGGTCCATGTTTAGAAAATAAAGTAGACCAAATGTTACCTCTAAAATCGTATCCAGCTGCTTTTGATTTTCCACAACAATGATGTTGGCTCTTGAGTCATTAGCAACATAGAGGCAGGCATCTGGTGAGTTTGTGGTATAGATACCTGCCATTATACCCCTAGCACAAACAAAAATATAGATGTGAGGGCAGTGATCCTAGACCTAATACTCCCTTTCCACTTTAATAAGTTCATTTAAGGTTGTATTTGATGTTAAAGGCCCCTGCAACATCTTGACCAATGTGTAAACAAGCTTTTTACACTTGAGATTGTTAATCCAGGGTCATTTTTAGTAATCCTGGGATATTTTGTTCCATGTTTCACACCAAGTACATTTACATGCACTTTAAAAATGAGATTTTGTAATATTTTGTAATATTTGTTAAAGTTCCCCTATTATTGTCACGCTACTGTGTTGATGAACTCACATGAACACAATGATGATGATGATAGGCAGTCTTAAATAAATCCACAGAAGGTAAATCCAAACAGAGAGAAGGCTTGCAACACACGTAACATCGACGATACCGGACAAATGAGGATTCAAACAGAGCAACAGGATGAGGCGAACACAGCTGAACAGGATAATACAATCAAATCAAAAACCATAGCAACGCAGACAGGAAATGAACACAAGGACAGAAAACCAAACTAAACTGAATATAATTGTGACAGTACGCCCTCTCCCAAAAAGGTGCAACCTCTCGCCGACAGTTCACTGATGGGAGGAGGTTTAGGTTGACGACAGTTGGTGATGGTGAGTAGTGAACAGAGATCCAGAGGAGGTGATGGAAGAAACCAGGGAGGTGCTGATGGTGGTAGGAGCCAAGGAGATGCCTGGGTGGCGCCCCATGGTGGCGTTGCAGGAGGGAGGAGCCATGGAGGATGTAAGGCTGACGACACCAGGGGGCCGACCAACAGACAACGCCGATGAAAGAGAAGCCCCGGGAGGAAACAGAGTGAAGAGCTAGGGTGACACCAAGGTTCCTGAGGGCCAAGGGTCAGTGGCTCAGGCGACTGAGGCAGGGACCTGGAAGACCACGGTGAAGCTGGAGCGACTGAGGACCAAGGTGGAGCCAGAGGGAAGGAGGAGCCTGACAGAGCCAGGGGATGGAGGGACGAGGCGAAGGTGGAGCCGGAGGGACAAGGGAGCCTGGTGGAGCCAGTGGGATGACAGGCCACGGTAGAGACGACGGAGCTAGGAGCCAAGGCGGAGCTGATGGGTCGAACCAGCGAAGACCGGGCTGAAGAAGTGGAAGATATATGGAGAGGAGGCGGTAGAGGGAGGCTGGGAAGGAACACAGGAGGTTCCGGAAATTCAGGAGGTCAGGGCTGGAAGGAACCAGCGGGAAGACAGACGGCACAGGGCAATACATGAAATTATCCTAAATATTTCCAGAGGCCAGTTGTAGCTCACCCTCAGTGGCAGGAGTGTGGGTGGGGCTTTTTTCCATCCCCTCGTACTCCGTATGCTATGGGCTCAGGCAGACGCTCTGTGCAATGGGGTGGTGACTGGCTGGGCACTGGGTTGGGAGTGGGACTGGCGTCTTCATCCGCAAGGCAGACGGTTAAGGCAGACTCTCCCCGGACAACTGCACTCGTGTGGCAGTGTTCAGTCAGGCGTGCAGGAACGAGCACAAGCAGTCGTCCGGGAACATGGTCTGATGGGAGAGACACGCTTCTCGAGGGAGAGGTTCTCCTGCTCAAGCATTAACGTACATGAGACCAGACAAACTAGAACTGAAATAATAAAATAGGTTTAAATTGATGCAAGGCCAAAAAACGCTTTCGTTTTCTCAAAATATCTGTTTAATATCAACTCATTTTCCAACGATTCGTTTGAAGCAGTTCTAAGATTCAGTCTCTCTAAACCCATCCATTCCGTGAGCCTACTCTGCTCTGATTGGTCAGATTGCCCAGTATGTTGTGATTGGTCTACCGCCTACTGCATTGATACACCCATTGCCATAATTCCGTATTTTGAACGCTCGACAGAAAATCTAAACATCTATTATTTATCATACTTACAGGTTGTGATTCAGTGGAGCCAGATGGTCCAAATAAACTGGGTACTGAGCCATCTTTTAAGAGCAAGCGTTTTGTGAATCCCGCGTTGAACTCCCCGAGATTAGAGAAGCAGTCGTCAGTAAAATGACGGGAACACAAAAAAAGATTGGGGTTATACTGCTGTGATACAGTGGAAAAAATGAATTTTAACCACTGATTCTTTGGAGCCTCATCTTTCGGAAGTGAAAATAAAACAAATTTACTTTCATAGCGTAGGACACAGTGTCTTCTCGACATGATGTTTACCACACGAACAAGCTAGAGTGTTTGAGGGTGGGTCAATTTGTTTGTGTCCGGCCAATGTAGAACATACGTACTACGTTGTGCAAATGTTATGCAAATGTGTAACCCTGTAACTGTAACCCCCTCATATACAGCTACATTACACACTGCATGAAAGGCAATATTTGAAATGGCATAATAGGGGCACTTTAAGTTGGACTAACAGACCATAATGCAATTGTAGCTTGGCTTCATACAGCATGTACAGTATATACAATGTGTTAATCAGAATACAGTTGGCCTCTGTGTTGTGTGCATGATCCAAAAGACAAAAGGTGATGCACAGCACGTATTTAATGCTTCAAATGCTCGATTTAAGCATTCTGTTGTGTATACTTGGACAGAGAAACTGACACCGTAGTTTGACTACACACCTCGATTATGCAGTACAATTCAAATTTAGCAATACCAAAAATTACAAGTGTGAAATTTTAAGCTTAAAGTAAAAAAAAAAAAAAAAAAAAAAGACATTAAAAAAAAAAAGTTTCTCATTGTTAAAGGAATATTCTCATTTTTTTGCCATGAAGTGCCATAAACATAAAAAAAGCTGAATTCATGTTTTCTTAAACCGTAAGTTTCACATTTGTGCTTTTAAATCCTCAAAGAAATAACTAATTTACTTATAATGTAAATGCCACACTGTAACCTATACATTTTTTAAACCAAATGCATTGATTTTTGATTCATTTTGACTCACATTAAATGACTCAAATATCAATGCGCAGGATGAAGACATGATGAAGATGTCAGAGTGCAAGTTAATTCAACAAATTATATTAAACACATCCACATACCTTTTTCCAAACTGGTTATTGGTTGGATCAGTTTGCTGGTGTATTTGAGTGCCGGTGCTCATGCTGACTGCAGGACTGGTATGAACTGTTCAAAGATTGCCCGGTTCTTGGCATAATGAGGACAGAATGAAGCAATGAATAGCTCCATGAGGCACCTTCACAATTCTCCAAGTGAAAAGCTTCAGCTATGTGCTTATTTTTATGATGCTCTGAGTAAGCTTCTGGGAAATGTTCATAGTGAAGTTCTTTTTTTAGGAAAAGTTGGCAAAAAGTTTGTTCAGTGTGAAATGTCTTTGGGTGAAAACAGTGCATTTTAATGAGTTTGTGGGCTTTCATATGGAAATTTGTTACAGTCAGGGCCGTTTCTAGGCATAGGCGAGCTATGCGGTCGCCTAGGGCACCACCAGCTGAAGGGGCGCCAATGAGCGCACGTACTGGCACTTTTAGCAGGGTTGTGATAAAGAGTGGCACGGTCACCCTGAAATATGACTGCCGCCCCCACTGGATCCCCCAACATTATTGGGCTAGAGTACTGTCAATCTGACGATGCCTGTATGCCACTAGATCAGAGTGCTGTCAATTGCTGCCTGATTGTTGCATGCAAAGTTTGCATTTGGAGCGCTCAACAACGCCATTAGATCAGTGGGCTCTGTCAGTGCTTTGGCAAGGTAACACTTTTTTTTTGCCATGCAATAAAGCTAAGTTCAAAGGCCAATTTAAAATATTGGTACAGTAAATAAAGTGCACAAAATCAGTATTTTGTTTAGGCAGTATTTGTGGCACTTTTGTGGCACATTTGTCCAAATATTTGTGGCAGATTTGTCCAAAAGGTGTGCGTTTTTTGCGCCAATGCATTGTTAAAGGATCAGCGTGTCATGTAATATTCCCATATAAACTTTAACATCCAATTAAAAAATATTTGTATAGTAAAATTCGCTAATTCACGAGATCAATACACCCTTTAATCCATCCTTACGGAGGTGTCGAAATGCTGAATCAATTAATTCACTTCCAACAGCGCTTAATGGGAGCAGCGTCATAGAGGGCAAAGCGTCACGTTATTTAAAGGGGACGTTAACGCGTTAACGAGTAGCAAATGATTAAGTAGCTGCATTGGTTACTTTTATGCCACTGATAAAGCTTTTATATGTAGTTTGGGGTAACAAAGGGGTTTTATAGGTTTGACTGAAATAATAATGCAATAACTGACACTTTAAATCAATGTTTCAAGAAACAACAACAAAAAAATTGAACAAAAAACAGATAAAGACAAAAAAGTAGCCATTGATAATATCTAAACAATATGTAGTAGTATAGTCTCCAAATCAAAATGTAATACAATTAATTTATGTGTGATTTAGGTGTAAATGATCTGCAATGTCTTAGCCACTAGGGATTGTTACAAAGGGCTATACAGGCATCTAGTGGCAACACAATGATATTACAGATACTAAATTGTGCAAAATGTTTATCTTAACAGTCAATTTATAAATAATGCATTCAGATTTGTGGAACTCAATGCACTGAATCTCCACAAATTAGTGTCGTTACTATGACAACCAATTTGAATGTGACAAGCAACTGGTGTCTGAAAAGAATTATATATATTACAGTCCTTAGAATTTGTGTAAGACAACCCACTCAGCTGAATTTATTTGAGGTTATTCTGACTTATCTTCAATAAAATTAATTTATTTCTAATGGGATTTTTTCTATTTTAGTTTTATCACCTTTAGGAAAAGAGAGGGAGAGTCATATTTTTTCCATTCACAGAATTGCTCTTCTGTAAACTTTTTTTGTGCTTTGTTGTGTTCCAAACTCTAAAGTCTTTTACGCCAAATCAAGTCCTTTCTGTTCAGTGCAACAAAACACACAAGCTTAAATGTATGGGTCAAATACAAATAAGCATATCCATGATAAATGTAACTCCTCCTTCAAGCAAGGGTGACCACAAAAAACTAGTAATCATAAACTTACATCACAAAAAAACGTTTATTCATACAAATGAACCAATATAACAAAATAAACGCAAACAAAATACATCATATAACAGAAATTCATTCATCCTCATAAAAAGAATATTAATAGCCAGCCAACCCTCTATAAACCCCAATACAATCCAAGCTTCTCTGCACAAAGTAATCCAAAAAGAAAAAAAAGGAAATTACATAAACATCCTTCAATTCCTACTACATGTAAGACACACCTCACTCAAAAGAAGTACTCCAAATCAACGGTTAATATCACTGCAAACATAACCCTCATGCAAATAAATAATGCAGGTGTTTCAAAGCATCAACATGTATAAAGGGTACAAAGGTTGGCTGGCAACACGAGGCTGGAAGTGAATCATACACTTAAGTGAACAAACAAGAAAGAAAATAAAACACTCTGCTAGCCAGTCCGATTCACAACCATCATCAAATCTTAATTGCGCTGGAAGCATACAGCGCGCACATACAAGGACCGGCTGGCTGAGGAAATACAACATAACAAACACTGGAGGAACAGCGATCAACTAAACCTGCAACACCGCCATCAATCCCGACCTACTTTCCAAAGGTTTTCCAAATCAAAGAAGAATGAGCGTGACCAACAGCAAACAAATCCACGATGTTTACATCTGCTCACCCGGACCATGTGCACAATCAAGCACAGAGGTACTACACGTACAGAGGACAGCACAATGTTTGTGTCTGCTCACCCAGACCATGTCCGTGCACAAACAAACAGGGAGTTGCTACCAGACAGCGCACTTCCACACAAAAAGACCGGACCCAGTCTCTAGGCCTCCCTTCAGATGCCCACTTAAAAACTCAAACCACCTGCATGGCCAAGCCCTCTACTACTAGCCACCTACCCGGCTACAATAGGCACTCTCTTCAACTGCGTTCCAGCTCAGTTCAGCCTAAGCGCTCTCTTCACCGGGCTTCAGCGTGTTTAGGAATGGCTGCGGATGCGCTGGATGTCCTCCTGTATGGGCTTACATTTCTGCCACAATTCTGCGCGCGAAAGATCATATTTTGAGCGCACAACTGCGACAGCAGAGCAACACTTAACTATTGACACCCACACACACTGTCTGTTTCTATCAACCCTCTGTTAATACATGTACTGAAATAAATAGGCCTATATATAATAAATAAATGAGACTGAAAATAAATGAAAAAGTTACCTTGTTTGGAGCGACCTCTGCTGAGAGATTGTCAGAAAAAACCTAATTTCCCATATAATATGGAGATCTCATATTCTGTAAACCCATAAAATATTTTTTTATTTATATAGTAGTAATGATTTTTTATAGTACAGATTTTGTATAGACATAGTACAGGATTTTGTGCAGCGCTGATGATGATTGAGATGATTTATTGATGAAGATTTACTATTCTTTAATAAAAGATCTTTAAAGCATGAATTATTTGTTTTTTATTCAGTGTATCTGCCTCATACTTATGTACTTATAATAAATGAATAAATGAATGAATGAATGTTATTATTATAACAAGTGTTAAGTACACACATGATTATATTAGGCTACAAGATCCATTATTTATTAGCTTGCTGAAAATCTTTCCTTGTTACATTTGCTGAGCGATTGTCAGAACAGGCCTTATTTCCTAAATAGGCCTAACATTGGGAGATCTCCTATTCCATACACCATTATAGATTTATTCTTTTTTATATAGTAGTAATGAAATTATTGATTTACTTAGTATCCTGATATCTGATGATAATTTGCTTAATTATTTTACAACTGACAGGAACAAAATTCTCAAATTTAAAAGCTTTCATTAAAGCACATATCTAGAAGACATTTGGCAGTTTCAGGAGAATCACAAATAAAAGTAACAAAAGAAAAGTTTCTAGGAAGAGGTTGTGAAAGTCAAGGGCATGCAATGAAACGTCCCA